TCTACTTGAGGCAACAGCGTTAAAATATAATAGCAAACATTTCAAGATCCTGTATCTTTTTTTCCCATTACATGGACATGATATGGGACTCTACAAAGTATAACTTTTTACGACTCTGGGTAGAACTTTTATGTTCTGGAATCAGTGAAGAATGGAGTGGATGCAGTGACTTCATGTCACACTGCGCATGCCCGACCAGTGTCGCTTGTGGTATGATAATCTCTGTAGGGTACACCAACAACAGGGAAAATAGACACAGTTCCAGACACAGCAAAACAAACAAGTTCGGAAACGTCTGCATAGCGTAATAATTTTTACGTCTTTGCTCCTTTCTTTCCATCAGTTTTTCATTTCGTGAATACAAACTTCTGATGCTGTCTTATAAAGTTAGTGAGATTTCAGGTTCTCACAGCGAGAAGTACGAAGATGACTGTCGTCTTGTACCATGTAGTCTAGTAGAAACCGAGCAACGTTTCGGAGGTGCTTACTGCCTCCGTCGTCAGAGCGATGACAGAAGCAGTAAGCACCACGAGCAAGAATCTCGTAGGCCTATATATAACACCTGATCAAAATCATCTCAGCGTTTTTGAAATTATGACGTAATAAGGCAAGAAGAACTTTTGATATATCGCAAGGGGTAAGACTTGCATAAAAAGTGTACTGAGCATAAAAATGTGTGCCTGACTTGTTTCTACGACTATGTCCGAAGAATTTTTCGCTGTGATAAATATTCAGCGAACCTGCAGGTCATCATGTAGAGGCCGTTATTTATGTCCGATTTTAACTACGACAGGATTTAGTAAAGTTACCGTCAAATTTCATTAAAATCCGCTCGGCGGTTGTGTTATTTAGTGCACACGGACAGACAGACAGACATGGAGAAGCTAAAGGCGCATGTTTGCAACTTCGTTTCTAGGGTTAAAATCTCAGTGAGGAGCTCTGCAAATTAAAAGACTCTTTTATTCGTTAACGGAGTAAATGACGATTGTCACTACGATCATACAACCTGACTGTACATTTCATCTCATGATTTACGGTATTTCGATAATGGCATTCCATAGTATTCCGCTAAAACGGAAATATTTGTTTCTGTGGTAAAACGGATTGCAACAGCGCTCGAAGCGGAAACTGCAAGTACTACGTACATTGCACATTACAGGGGATGGAAAACTGAAGCTGAATTAAGAACGTGTTTCTGCGAAAATGATTTGGGAAATATCAATTCAAATTCGCCATGGCGTTCGGTATTCAACACTAGACTCACAGTGATGACATTTCCTACTGTTATTGAAAGCTAATGTTCGTCATCGTTTCCACAACGCCCTCTGGGTGGGGGAACTATCCTGAGCCTACTCAGTGCAGATGAAAATATATTTCTTTCTATATGATGTGTGTTAATAACTTCTTACCGAAATCTCAAGTCCCACAAGCGTTCACTTCGCCTGAAATAAAAAACTGTCTATATTCTCGTTTCCCTCATTTAATTTACTTTAATTTAATCACACTTCTATTTCTGGAGGAGCGGATCATGTTCTGATGACGGAGGCAGTATGACCTCTGAAACGTTGGTAAACATCGACCAGACTACACAGCGCAATAACCCAGAAGACAGAAATCTTCAGCCCTATAGGTGTTTACCAACGTTTCGGAGAGACATATTGGCGTCATCTTCAGGATGCTTATACCCTCAACACAAAAACGTGACTCACAAAATTATAAAATCCATTATGTGCTTTGCTCCAATTTCCTGGACAGATGCCAAATTTAATTAAAATTCTACCACCAAGAAGAGTGTTACTGATTAATCCTTGGATCGTTTAACCGCGCTATATCAACTGCACAAGTGTCAGCTGAAACGATTCTGAAAGAAATTGGGGAACATGCAGAAGAAAACAGTCGTTGCCTATTTTTTGGCACTATCCCAACCTTGAGGAACTAGCAGCAAAATGTGTCCGATCTTGTCTGCACTAACGGAAAGGCAAAAGAAAACAATCGATTACTGCATTTCTTGGAGGAAGCCCCTTAAACATATCCAGCGTTAATTACAGAAAACCAGTGTCTTTTCAATCGTACACATGATTTCAGCAGAAAGTACGCAGCTTCTTAAAATGCATGGGCACGCCTTGTCTGAGTGAGGGACTTCATTTATTCGATTCCCACTTCCCATTTCATTACCCACCTTCGTCGCCATATATTTTCCAATCGTGATAATGAGTTTTTGCCTATTTGTTCACTCGTGATCTAAGAAACGTGAAGTTTGCGAGGTGAGGAGACGGTGTACTGGCGGCGATGAAATCGATTGGTGCAGCCACACACAAAGCGACGCAGACAGAGAAGTCCCCACCTCACGCGCGCAGGTTCCAGCACAAATTACCCCGACATGTAATTTTCACTTGTAGGAAAGCGATTTTATTTACAGAACGCAGACTTCAGCTGTCTTATTCCATTACGAAAACGAGGATTGCAACACGTTATAATGGAGATATGAGCGGGCTGTATTGGAATGAACCTCAACGAAAAGGTTTGCGAGAAACTCTGTAACAATCTAATGTCTTGCGGTGCTGAACATTTCTTCAATATTATTAAGATGACAAAAGGGGGGGATGAGCTCGGACGAACATGTAGAGCGCATACTGGAGATGAAAAATGCATATAAAACTTTGGTTGGAAGCCCACTCGAAACACCTAACCATCGCGCCATCACGCCATTCGGTTAACATGATCGGTAGACTACTGGATGATAGACAAATATTAGGTGCGTAGAGTAGTTCGCACACGGCAGACTCCTCCAAAATTCGGGAAGAAGTCGTCCTTCTGAACATTAACAACAGTTTCCGATCTCCAGTGGCTAGCTTCGACAGAGAGGAAAGCGGACAAACACATCACGTTCAGACAAAACTTCGAAATAAATGTGACCAAATTCCAAAATAACTCCTCGGCGACTTCAGCGATACAAACTAGCTTCGACAGATAAGTCTACTACAAACAAAGACGCTACAAATGGCTACGCACGTAGATCGGATGGATGCGATGAAGACACGCAAAGTTTTGGTGGGAGAATCGCTTGTAAGATGTCCTCTTGCAGTACCAAGGAGCTCCAAGGACATTATTAACACGATCTTAAGGAGACGGTTTGTGTGGCTGAAGCTGGCTTACGATCATATGCAATGGAACGCTTTGTGTTAAACTTTCAATTTCTCCTGAAAGAAGTGTTAAGTTTACAGAACTGCAGAATGAACAAGACAGAAGCAGGTTAACCCAAGTTAGATGATGCCCCCACATAAGTATGTAGGAACTGTCGTAAATTTTATAATCGCAGAAAACATGTCACAACAATAGTGACCTATGATGCTAATGCACCGATCCCATCATGACGTCATATGCTAATGCCAGCATACCAAGTGACAGGGTCCCGTACATAAACACGCATCTATTGGCCCTGAGCGAGTGATCAGACACCACTCGACTAGGACATGAGACATGCAGCCTGCGGGTGTCCCTCTGCATTCACTACTTCAACGCAGGCAGACTGATATTCAGCGTATTTATCGACGCTGTACCATATACTGAGAGATTAGGATGATTACGTGAGATATACAGGAAATTCATATAAAATGCAGAGGTACTTGGCATTCACTGTCAACTAAAAATCACCGTTTTGTTGAGTATTTATCAACGGTGTACTAGTTGCAAAAAGATTCTCTCTTCGTTTGCTCCAACTGCATAGGTTACACAGAGCTGAGAATATGAACGATGAAGTGGGAAAAATGTGGAAGGAAGCTAGAATGGTCTGCTGAAGTTACAATCCAAGAAGTCTTTTTATGGGGAGAATAAAAGGTCACGAAAACCCCTCAAGAATGACAGTCTCCGGAACGGGAGTCGAACTCGGGAACACGAAGCAGGGCGTTTGGTTACGCGCAGTAAACTGGAAATTAGGGCTTGTACTTATTGCTGCCATATAATGTGCAGAAGATGTGGTGATTCAAGGCCCATGACACTTAGCTACTAATTAAAGTCTAATGGAAGATAAGAGTTGTTATTGGCATCGTCAAACAAATACAAATAGTAATTAAAACAATAAAAATAACAGCAACGTGTTCTAAGTGTTCGTTCAGCAACGCTCAAAACGAGAAAACTGCGGAGGACAAATTCCATTTCAAAGTCCGTCCATTTGAATGCCTTGAAGTCAAGGATACCGAAGTCTGTGGAAAGCATAAGATTGTTCGGTGCCAGACGTCGTAAGCCAGTGTTACGACAGAACATCTGCATAATGCATGTACACAAGTCACGAGGTATTCATTTTAATGAGGCATATTACTGTGTGACTGCCAGTGCAGGGAAGCGTACACCGGAATATCTCACCAGAATGTTAACTCCACTTGGAAAACAAATCCATTACTTAAATCACTGACTGACTGTTATGTCAGGTCAGCATACGCTCTTATACAACAGAGACTAAACGTCATGAAACGAAACGCAAACAAAGAAAAATGAGAAATTAATAAACAAAGGAAAAAATAAAAATAAATTAATAAAACAAAAAAGAGTAAGGACAAATAAAAAAGATATATATGCAAGAAAAAATACCTTCCCGTCCTACAGATCAGAATATATTACTATGCAGGTCCCTGGCTTCATGCCCCGAGACCCAACCAGACGCTTGTATAGCCTCCTGGTTTCCTGTCGTGAGGACTAGAGTAAAGTCTTGTACATACTAATTGTTTCCCTCCTGAGACGAGTTAACTCTGGCACAAGTTCTTAGTTTCCCGTTCTAGAAATCTCAGGTAATCTTTGTAAACGCTCCCGCTTTCTCATCTTACAGACCCCGGCATATTCTTCCAAAAGCTCAGTTTCCCGTCCAGAAACCCTGGCAAATTCTTGCACAGTTCCGAATTTCCAGTCATGGACGCTCCAGAAAAATTCTTGCACGAAGTCATTATTTCCCGTCGTACAGACCCGAGTTAAATTCTTGCGCAGTCTCACTCTTTCTCGTCCCGCAGATCCTGGCGGCGCTCGCCGTGTCCCTGGGCCCCTTCGCGGCAGGACTCGGCAAGGGCTACAGCTCGCCAGCCGTGGACTCGCTGAAGGAACAGCAGCAGCGGTTCCCGGAAGCTGTGGCCAACGCGTCGAGCGGGATCTTCACGGTCAGCGAGCAGCAAGCCTCTTGGGTTGCTAGCCTGTCCCTCCTCGGGGCCTTCTTCGGCGGGATGCTGGGTGGACTCGCCATGCGTTTCGGTCGCAAGAGGGTGCTGCTCGTAACATCGCTTCCCTTCTCTGCCTCTTGGCTCTTGACGGTGTTCGCCAGCAGCGTCGAGATGATGTTCGCCACGGCCTTCGTGGGCGGATTCTGCTGCGCCATCGTACTTGTTGTCACGCAGGTAATGAATTTGTCACAAAACGTAATATTTCTAATGTCCTCCTCCCATAAACACTTGTCTCTCTTCCCTTGAGTTCTTACATCAACATTTTGAATGTAAGCTATATACCACTCCCATCTCACTCTTCTGGATTCCACCATCGTAATAATATTACGTGAAGCTCAATTTGAACACAATTTTTTTGTGTATTTATCCAAGGCCAAACTATATCCTCAGAAAACTAATACTACCTTAAATTCTGCATAAATTGTTCACTTGTTTGTACGCGTGTAAATATTTTTCCTGGCAAGTTGTATAAAAGTAAACGGAATCTTTAGTTTATATATTTTCTGAGAAATCTTCACACAGTTCTCGGTGTCAAAAAAACCCACAAACAATTCACTTTTTATTTTACTGACACTGTTCAACAAAGATTATACGCCAATCAGAATATAACCGTTTCTAAAGAACGTACACTGTTCGGGTACTCTCACTGTAAATGGAACTACAGGGGGGAGGGAGAGGTAAAAACAGCCGAAATGGCATCCTCTCGTGTGCCACTGATGTGGATCGGTATGTCCATCAGTGTCAGGGGGGCTTTGTACAGCTGCCAAGTAGAAATGAGATGAGGGCCGAGTCTC